ACTTGTGGGATTCTCCAGTATGATGATGATGATGTTTCATGTCCTGTTTCCACTGTTCTTTCTACTGTCGTCAGTTTCTGAACCTATACTTTGACATTGATTTTGAAGTGCTATTAAATTTAACTCTAAAGTATCCTTAAAATGATTTGGAGCTTTGTCACAACATGGAAAAAACGGTAACATATTAAGATTTTGTGCTTAGTCTGGTGCAAAGAAGGTTTCAAAACACAAACAAAATTCTGATTCTGCAGTGATTTTTGCATTTTGGTCCTTAATTATTATTTTGACGGGATCCTCATTTTCGGTCTCTCTTCTGATTAATAGATAGTGTTATATGCACATGCAGTGCATGTTTAGCAATGCACAATGATATATAATTTATTACTACAGAACTTATTACGTTTTTCTATTTGTAGTCACCAGAGCTAAATATCTTCTTCTATCTACAGCTAATATCTTGCAGTTCAAGATATTATAAAAAATAAAATAAAAAATAAACTGAATTGAACAACAGGTGAATCCTACATTCAAACTGCCTGGATTGTTATGATAATTTGGAGGACAAAGTTTTGGATAAAAGTTTTATTGTAGTCTCTGTGGAGGTATGGTAATGACTCAGTCTTAAAATAATACAACACAGCACACAGAACCAGAAAAAATAAGTTCTTGGGTCTCTCTTCATGTTTACATTTGCAACTGATCTGCGGAGTGACATTACTTGGTAAAAATGTAGGATTAGATATCACTCTGTCTGAAACAAGGCCCTGCTGTAAATGAGACACGAGTCTCAATAGGACTACATGTGTGAAAAAAGGTTCAATTATAATTAAAAATTGAAAGTGCACTTACATTAAGACAATTTCAAAGCAAATTAAGTAACGTGCTTTCCTTTGCTGCACTGTCGTACACATAAACACTAGATTATTTTTTCTTGGAGTGGGGGGCTGTGGGGGTTAGTTTTTAACAAAGATGGAAAAATTAGAAACTAAATGAGAAAACAAAGGGTGACAAATAAAAGGCCCAAACTTAATTTAAGGTTTATTTTAATATAATGTCATATTCATCAGCATTTAACTCAACATTTATGAGAAAACAGCGTCCTCGGTTTGCTCTCTTGTCCTTCTTCCTCGTGTTTTTCTTTCAGAGAAACTGAGCGCAGCGTAGTTTATATCATCATCAGCTTCAGTCTGTGTAGTAACAGAAAGAGTACACAGTACACAAACATGTAGATGTGGAACTGTGCATACATATTTAACCTACACAAAATCTGTTTGATTACTTACTGGTTGGTACGAGTTGCCAGTTTGTACTTCTGTTGTATCACTTTTTATTTCTAAGATAAACAAAATAATAACAATAAATATATGATAGTGAAATGCACTTAATGGGACATTTCTCCTCTGATGTTTTTTTTTTTTTTTTTTTTACAAAAATCTTACATAAATGTATCATTCAAGTGAAGTGATAAGTTACGTTAATGAGAAGTTAGATTGTTTAATGAGGTACACAAAGAAATAACAACCATTATGTCCCTTAAACATTAACAGATAGTACAATGGTTGCCTCCTTACAGTTTTACAGCAAACTTGTTCTTATGATTTTATACATAAATGTTAAGCTACTGGCAACACTTACCTTTACATTTTTTGCATACTCTTCGGTTGCAGATGAAGAAAAGATTTCCAATGACAGAAACGGCCAAACAGGTTATTAATATTACCATTCCAATAAATACCAGTCGTGTTGTTTTCTCTACAAAACAAACAAAAAAGGTTTTATCACTGATCTTGATATGAGCATGTTTTAAGCACAAACTGAAAAGTACTTGAGACAAAATCAGGCACAGATACCTTGAACATCCAGTTTAGTTCCATTTCCAAATAATATCTCCCCACATGTGGCCACAGCACAGTAGTAAGTCCCAGCATCAGAGGAGCTGACGGTCTTAGAGAAGCGATAAACACATCCATCCTGAGGGTCAGATCTTTGCTCACATTGATCAGTTCTGTTTCCATGAGTGTAGATGATGTTTGGAAGAGATTTATTAGATCCATCTCTGAACCAGAAAACATTATGATGTCCTGAACATGTGTTTTTCTCAGAATTTGTCAGAACTGAACACTGAAGAGTTGCTGTGTCTCCTGGACGGAGTGGATTTGATTCTGTCGGCTGCCGTACAACAATATAGTTTGATGTCCTTTCAGTGTTTCCTGTGTAATACAAAATGTAATACAAGTAAATTATTCAAAACATTCTCAGAGGCATTTAAAAAGTTTGTAAAAGTTGGTCAGTTCGTTACCTTTTACTAACAAATATGTCCCACTCCATTCAAGTTTAATCCAGGTGTCTATTCCACAGTGATACATCCCCTCATCCTCTTGGACGACATTCCAAATGGTCAGGTTGCTGAAATCTTTACTGTTATGTGCAGAAAATCTTGACTGAAGA